TGTACAAATATTTTCTATCATAATTTAAGCTAAAATAATATTAAAATTAAAAATGATTAATTTATGTATGTGCAAATACGAATCAATCCTAGGTTTTAAAAATAAATGTAGTCATGCGTGGTTTGTTTAAATAATTAATTTTAAACTTTAAACATAATTGAACTGTTAAATAATAGTAATTACTACCTTTTTATACAATCAAAAGACTAAAATCAAACTTTGTATACAATAACCAAATTTATTTGAATAGACTTCTTCCGTCAAAATGAAGTTAATATGATAATGTATAAATATATGTTTAATTACAAAAATGCAGCTTTATATAAAATTTGTTGTCATTTTTACCAGAAATACATATGCATTTGTTAAACACATCATTTAACATATCAAAATCTAATTGATAACAATTTGTAACATTCCAATCATATTTTGAACTCTAATGATACGAGCTTAAAAACAAATAACAAATTTATGAAATAAGACTTTTCATCTACAAAATCTGTAAGCAACATGATACTTGTGATATACACAGAATTTAAATTTAAAAATCAATATATTAATCTATCATTAACCATGAAATTTTGTTAAGAAATATTTTCTATTTAATATACATAATTTGCATGATAATAACAGACCAAATTATCAAATTTTTTTTAAATAGCAAAAAATTGGAAACCAATTTTTTATTATATTCTTGTTAACAGATCAATTCATCGGATGATTCAAAATAATAAATTCAATTTGATAAATTTGATTTTCAAAATAAAATTTGTATCATCTGTAACATTAAAATAAAAATCAGTCAAATGAGCATAAACATCATAATATACAGAATTTCAAATGTATATATGATATTAAATGATTGTGATATATTATAATAAAAAATGTGATAATGTTTTTTTTTAAAAATTTTATAGTATGGAAATGTTTTTTCAAAATGAACTTGTAAATGTTTGTAATGATGATATTGAAAGGAGTTAAACAGTCATATGAATTTTATTTATATTAATTATAACGAAAATTTATATTTCAAACTTATACCTTTGAATTTATTGTGTTTATCATTCAAATAAAAAACAAAAATACAATGAAAAATATTATCGACTTATACGTCAAATTGAAGAAATTTTTTTATCTACTATAACATGGTAGAAATTTGTTGATTTCAAAAAGATATTCTATAAAATGCGGAGCTTGACATTGTTCAAAATTTATTATTTTATTTTTTATGTTGCAAATTAAACTATAAAATATTTTAGTTGACTCTATAATATTATTGTACTTATAGGATTTGGAATGAAGTTCGGATGATCATCTTAGAGCTTGATGCGGAAAAAACTTAAATGAAATAAATTTTATCATTTTCATATATAAATCATAACAGTTAATATATGATAAATAATAATTAATTTTCATTGATTTAAAAATATATTTAGCATATTAAACTTCAATGCATATTTTTATAACAAAATAGTTATGAATTATTTCAATTGCTATAATTTTTTTTCTCGATGAATAATTTTGAAATTTGAAAACATTTATGTAATCAATCACAAACTAATTTGAAGTCAAATATTCTTGATTATATTTATCTATAAATATTTATCAACTGTACAAATTCAATTAATAATGTTTCAAATAATTACATGTCAATATTTAAATGTTGTGCATTCAAATATATATTTGCAAAGTTGAATTTCAAACATATTTAAACACACGCACCATAGGTACTATTGTACAATGATTGTTAATCTGTATATTAATTATACTATTAGTATATTTACCATAATTTTGAACTTATATGTGTTATTTCGATTTTTTAAAAAATTGTATTTGGAATTATTAATATGCAGAAATTCTTCATATCACATCACATTTATTCAAACTTAAATGAAAGCAAACTAACTTCATATATATTTCAACTTATATTTTCAATCATGAAATTGTTTTGTTAAGATCTATCATGTATGTTTTAATAAGAACAAAATATAAAAACAAATCAAACATTTTCATTTGTCACGGATTACATCATCCAAATGTTATGCATCAAGAAAAAATGATTGAGGCACCAACGTGGATTTTGAGAATATCTTAGATCCAAATTCAAAAACTCCTCATGAGATTTCACAATTTTTCTAAAGCAATAATTATATATTGAGATCAAAATACATAAATATAATCAAGTATATGAATATACAATCGCATATAAAAATTTTAATCCGAATTCAAATATCTGATTTTTTTATCATGATATTTAAATATAATATTTAATTGATTTAGAGTTTTGTTATTGTGGGATAATATGAATAAAATTATAGAAAATAAATCTTTTAGTTTTATCTCCATTCCAATACATATAGTTGTAAAATTTCCATATTTCTAATAGACTAATTCATGTTAGAATTGCTCACTTTGAATCAACTGCACCACCATCATTTAGCTGTTGCATATTTAATTTACATTTGCAGAAATACAAATCTTCTTCATATTATGAAATTGGAATAAATGATGATTAATTTAGAACACATTTGTAAGTAAACTTATACCAATAGTATATTAAATATATTGGTCTATAAATTATTATAAATATTAAGATATATGAGTAATTATATATGACATGAAATAAAAAAATGTTACTTCGTTGATTTGAAAAGTTATATGAATTTTAATGATTAATTCTTCAATTTTAAACAAGTTGATTTTTTTATTTAGAATGTAGTATTCATGTCTATTACGCATCTATAATAACACGTTGAAAAGTGTAGAAACAATTGACACTGAATTGATTATAAAGTGTATGTTTTGAATATAATTATGGAATTAAAATATTGAATGAAATAACAATATATTTGCTTGATCGTAACCATCAAGTTTCTATTGACCTGTTGGGACTCCACTGACGGCACACCGTCGGTGAGTTATAATAAATGTTCTAGTATGAATATGTTATAATTTGTGTTTATGCGATAATTTTTACAATGTGCCATTGAAATTTAACAAAACTATATATGCTTTCGCCTGCAAGATTTTCCGACCCAACCGAATTTATCTAAGCTTCTGGACATTAAGTATTGCACTCGCGTCCTAAAATCAATCTGCACGAGCACATTGAATCAAAGAAATCCCTTTTAGATTTGAAAGAGTGAGAGCTAGTGCAATGCATCCGAGAGACAGTGCAATGCCATTGGCAATCCACCTTCCATCTCTATTGTGAGATCTTTGATCAAACCATCAAGTCTATACTCTAGCGGATCTACATCACTAGATTACCACAATGAAGATTTTTGCGCACATGAATTTTGCTGCGGACAAATTCATTCTTGAAACATCAGTGCGTTCTTAAGGAGACGATTTGACGATGACATGGATCATTCCGTGGGGTAACATTGGGTAAATTGAAACTTGATGGGTCCCATCAAGCAATTTACGTTTTGATGTGGTACCATCAAGCAAATCTCTTATGAAATAACACAATACATTAAGTTTTTTAAGTTCTCAGATTAATATAACACATAGATTATTTGTATGAAGACATTTAATTTGATAATTGTACTGATACTTTGTTATTCTATATATCCAATAATAAAATGTGCATCGTTAATATTTTCTAATATATTTTCTACAGATAAAAGAAAACTATGAAATTCGCTAGTAGGTTTTTGACTTATCAGATTTTTTTGACATTGACATTTTCAATGATAGAAAATGAAATACATTATATAGAACATATTGATGAAAAAAAGCCGAATTTATAGTTAAAGAGAAGTAAAACACCTGGTTTTAAATCTTTGAATAATATGGATTCTGATTTTAAAAACATAACTGGATAATTTAAATAGATCAACAATGTCTGTTTGTTCACATTGATTAGAAAGAAATAGCCGTGATATGATTAATTTCCAAATGCCTAAAATATGCAATTAGATTTTGAACTTTCTTTAACAAGTCATCGTTCTCCATAAGTTCCCTTAATGTCATTACATTCGACTTGCTGTGGTAATGTGTAAATCAGTTTCACAGCGTGCATAAAATTTTAATAATGTGTGATTCCAAGGCAAGAGTATGGTATATATGGTTTCATTTTAATGCACAATAATTGAATTTCTTTGGATGATGGATCTCGGAAAGGAAGTACGGTTGCAAGACAAAGAAGATCGATGAAAAAAAATTTAACTGACAAAGTTGTATTTTCTGTTCAGATAGTGTTGGTCTACATAGAAATACAATGTCTCAGGACATGAAATGTATTAAAATACTCGTATTGTATTTAACGTGTCCACTCAGAGCCAATGATGATTTAATCATAGTGAAAATGAAGCCTGTAATTATTTCATTTAAGGACGACTGCAATGATTGACGCTTAAATATTTATCAACAAAAGTCTGGAGGATACTGACGAATATTTCTAATCTCGGATTAAATTTTTTCTTCATTTCACTTAATGGAGGCATGAAGGAATCCTCGTCCCGATTTGGAATCCAGGGGAGGTTTTTGCAGGCTCGGGAATAAAGATTAAATTAATCAAATTAGAATGGACTGTGTGTACTTGTAGGAACAGTCTCAACTGAGTCGGAAGACGACATTCGACGCATGGGATGAAGCGAAGGAGGTTAAAAAACATTAATAGGAGAAAGAAACGGATTATCGGTTCGATGTATAAATAAGCGGGCCGTGGCTGAGAGGGTCCACACCTTGATTCACATTCTAACACTGCTAACTGCATATAAACTCCGATCACCGAACAGACTTTGGGCACAATCATTTATTCTGTCGCGACGCATTTTCTTCCCATGATATCCCTCAAAGTGGATAGAAGAAGTAAGAAGTGCAAGGCATAGAAATGAAGCGGAGGAAAAACATAGAACTATGGGAGTGCAGATCGCCGTGACTGGTACTTGCGTGGTAAACGAGAGAACCACACGCTGGGCTAACCACGGTTCGTCGGGTGCAGTTACGCAAACAATATCCAGCGAGCCAGGCGCGGGGCTCGGGGCAGGTCCGGAGGCGGTAGCGGTAGAAGAAGGAGTGAGAAATGCAGAGCAGATGCGGCACGGGCACGAGAGAACGCCAGAGGACAAAGAAGAGCAAGACGACGACGACGACGACGACGACGGGAAGAAGGCAGGAAGCGGTCGAGGAAGGCGAAGGCGAACGTTGTAGGAGGGGTAGGCCATCGAGGCCACGGAGCAGCAGCAGCAGCACAAGACTCGTCTGGGCACAGATTCTGGCGAGAGAACCGACGACGAAGAATTGCCATGGATCGATAGATGTTCTTCTCGCTCTTGTCCGCTGTCCGCTTCGCCATCGCCATCTCCATCGTCCTCGTCCAAGCAAGCCAGAGGTGGAGGGAGGGGTGGTGACAAGACTGTGCTGCTGGGAGCCGAGCGAGAGAAGGCGGTTTGTCGAGGAGAGGAGAGGAGAGGAGAGGAGACGGAAGCGATGGGAAGGCGAAGTGCAGGCTGAGACGAGATTGGCGAGGAATGAGATGAGGAGGATGCGGAGGAGCACGGGCTCGAGGAGCATGGCGGGGGCGGAGATGGACGAGGAGGACGAGCATGCGTGATCGCTCGTCGATGGAGCGGCCCGAGCAGTGCCTGCCGTGGGAGGCGGTTGTGGCGGTGGCGCGCGGCGAGACGTCGTAGAGTCGGGGCCGCGAGCGCGGAATTTCATGGTGATGGAGCGACGGATGCGATGGGAGGAGGGAGGAGGATAATTGGCGCAGAGCGAGAGCGAGAGCGAGAGCGAGAGAGGGAGAGGGAGAGGGAGAGGGAGCGGGGGCCGAGGAATCGAGAGTGAGAATTGCGAGAGCATCGTCGATGGAATTGTGAGAAGGACGGGATCGAGCGAGCGAGCGAGCGATGGGGGCGTTTCTGAGCTACGCGCGGGGCCGCGGGCGAGACGTTGCGGACCTGCCGGCGGCCGCGGAGTCGAGCAAGCGGCCGCGGCTGGCGTTGGGGTGCATGGACGAGCGGCCGCAGATGATTCCCGGGCTGCCCGACGAGATTGCGCTGCAGATCGTGTCGCGCGTGCCGCGGGGCTGTCACGCGGCGATGAAGGCCGTGTGCAAGACGTGGCACGAGGTGCTGGCGGGCGACGAGATCTTCGAATTGCGCCGCGAGCTGGGCCTGACGGAGGAGTGGCTGTACGTGCTGGTGAAGGACGAGCAGGAGCGCCTGGCCTGGTACGTGCTCGATCCGCTCGAGGGCCAGTGGCGGCGCTTGCCGTCCATGCCTCAGATGGCGCGCGACGACGAGGCGCGCGATCCGACGAGCTCGGGGCGCGGCTGGTGGACGGCGCTCGGGTCCTCGAGCCTGCGCCTCTCGGGCCTCTTCAAGGGCTGGTTCCGGCGCAAGGACCTGCTCGACCGCACGCCCTTCTGCGGGTGCTCGGCCGGCGCCATCAGCGGCTGCCTCTTCGTGCTCGGCGGCTTCTCGAAGGCCTGCGCCATGAAATGCGTCTGGCGCTACGACCCGCGCACCAACGAGTGGACCGAGGCCGCGTCCATGGGCACGGCTCGCGCCTACTGCAAAACCGGCCTGCTCAACAACCGCTTGTACGCCGTGGGGGGAGTCAATCGCGGCCGCGGCGGGCTCACGCCGCTGCAATCCGCCGAAGTCTACGAGCCCGCCACGGACTCGTGGACCGCCATTCCCAACATGCCCTTCTCGCGAGCTCAGGTGCTTCCCACCGCGTTCCTGGCCGACATGCTGAAACCCATCGCCACCGGAATGGCCGCTTTCAAGGGCAAGTTGTGCGTTCCTCAGAGTCTCTACTCGTGGCCTTTCTTTGTCGACGTCGGAGGTAAGCAAGAATCTCCACCTCGTGCCCGTCGCTGTGATTGCTCTCTGCTCGAGGTGCCCCGTTCGTCCAGTGGCTTGCATTTGGGTGCGCTTTCTTGCTCGCTCGCTCGCTCGCTCGCTCGTCGTCCTGACGCCCGCGCGGCTGGTGGATTGTGCTCAGGTGAAGTGTATGATCCTGTGTCGCACTTGTGGGGCGAAATGCCCCAAGGCATGGGCGAAGGCTGGCCCGCCCGCCAGGCCGGCACCAAGCTGAGCGTCGTGGTCAATGGCCGCCTGTACGCCTTGGATCCCACGAGCGCCATGGACGGCAGTAAAATCAAGATGTACGATTCCGAGCAAGACACTTGGAGGGTTGTGCTCAAGAAAGTTCCAATTTTGCTGGACGGTACCGATTCCGAGTGCCCATATTTGCTGGCCGGGTTCAGGGAAAAGCTCCACGTGATCACCAAGGATAACCATGAGCGCGTCACGGTGCTTCGTGCAGACTTTACAGAACCTGCCGCCAATGGCACCAATGGCCCCGACACCGAAGACGATGGCTGGAAAACCATCGCCACCAAGTTTTTCGGCACCGTCGATCTAGTCACTTGCCAGGTTCTCGACGTTTGACGAGGTGAACCTCCGAGGTGCATGTCAGAAGTCAAGCTGCGTGACATGCATTTGGTCGAATTCTCTCTCGAGTGTCGCAACGTCTGGGTCTGTTTTGTAGAGTACTTGTATTACTCCCGGTAGTAGATGTAGCAGTTTGTACAAACTCTGGTGGCCATGTGCAAGCATGAGAAGCTTGTTTTCTTTTACATTGGTATCAAAAGCCAAGCAATAGTTTCCTCATTCAAGCCCAAATTCCATCCCTTTACTTAGCCGTTTATTGAGCAAGCACAGGCACGAATTCAGGATACAGAAGTCGTGACCTGCTTTATTGTAGATACGGGACACAGTGTGTTCTATGATGAACCCGATATACACCCTGGTCTAAGACCTGGTTCCCAGCACATATGTGTAAGATATAGGATTCTGGCTCAGGTACTCTGCCCAATTTTATCCAGTGCTCAGGTCTGTATCTACCTGTGTCATGTGGAGCACTTGAAGTGAAAATTAAACTTCACACTTTTCGGCACTTTTGGAAATATGATTTGCGAGGATACATGAGTCGTTGGGTTTTACCTCTCTTGTAGGCTGCAGCTATCTAATAAGTGATATTGTCCATCTAGCGATACCATCGTAGTTATATCTCCAATCGTAGGTTCGTGTTGTATCTCTTTTATCAATTGTTTTCGTCGGCTGGCTGATTTAGGCTGTGGGTCGCGGTGAACAAACATTCGTTGCCTTTTGTTTGTCAACAACTACTTTTTTCCCTCCACCTGAAGTGAGCTGAGGAAGTCTAGTTTGTGTGCATCGTGTTTTCGACGCAGGTTTGTGTGTCATTTGCTCGCAAGGATCTCGTATCTGCTGTTGATAGGTTCGCAGTGGCTGTTTTGTAGTTCGCAGGACTTAGTCTGGTGAAATGAATTGCCTGGCTATCGTCCTATACCTGGGTTTACGATGCCGAACACGTTTCCTTAATCTAGGGTTAATCAGAAACTCTCTCTCTCTCTCTTTTTTTTATCCAGCTGAATTGAGACATGTGGTTTGTATTGGAAAACCAATTATGCTATAAGTAACAAAAAAGTAACAGTTGAAGCAGACCTATTGAACCAACAGGTCTGCTTCAACTGTTACTTTTTTGTTACTTAAAGCATAATTGGTTTTCCAGTACCAACACAAGCTCGAGCTTCAGGCCAAAGTGGATGGCATTCACCATGGCCAAATAGACTTGTCCGGCCATAGTCGCAAATCATGACATAATTACCAATTACGATATCAATGAGTTCGAAGGCTGCCAAACTTTACTATTCTCATAAACAGATCGACAAAGCTCGACTTTCAGGAGGCTCTCTTTGATCACTTGGTCGCGAAAAACCAAGATGAACGGATGGAAAGTCGTGGAGCGATCACATCAAGTGATAGAAGCAAGTGTGGTTTTGGTCGAAGCTGGTTTGAGAGCAACGAGAAGTGAAGGAGAAGTAAACCCAAATCACTCCGTCTCACGTCTCAGTTCATAGAGATTTCTCTTTCTTCTGTGCACTTGTCTCCCTGAGAAGAATGATCCACGGTCACGCACACGTCCTACGCTTTCTGATAGATATTCTTCATTCATCCAAAGAGGAACAAATTTATGACGGACGTAAGCCTTATCCGATACTTAAAGTTAAGTTCTTTTCCCTTGTTCGGAGGCGCCAGACAAAGCGTTTTAGGAGGAAACGTTTGTCGAGGACCAGATGTCAGCACTTGCGCTCTCGGTCATAAAACGTCGGCGGTTGAGAGAGGCGAGATGAATATCTTCTTGGTTGGCAGCTGAAGGCTCGCTGGCAAATTTAGGGGATTGTAGCGCAGTTCGCTTATAGACGAGCCCCACGTAGCATCGAAGAGTGCTACCGACTTGGAGGAACAAACCACGAGAAGAAGGGAAGGAATCGATGGCCATCTGCCGAACAAGGAAAGATGATGGTCAAGAAACCTGTATCTTCCCGCAACTTCAAGAAGTTAAGGAAAGCGCTGCGCTGGACAGGACTATAGTTGGTCTTCGCAGCTACGAGGTTGAAGCTTCAATTCACTAAGTCGCCTACTGGTCGGTCGGTCAAGCCACAAATGAAACGAGCCCCGTGCCTGCTGCACACGGGCAACAATCATCACTCGGACGGCAATTGATCCCTCATCATCCATCCGCAACACGTGAACAGAAACTGAGGGCTCTTGGCTTTTCCCTCTTCTAGCTTTCTGATGTGCATGTGAGTGGAATCACGTGCACTTGAGCCCTCGCCTGGCCGGTCTCACTTGGCGGGTCAATTCGAGTTTGACAGTTTCACTCGCTTCGAGTCGTAGATTGGAGGTGGTTCGCCTTCTCGCAGGTCGCGTATAGCAGCTGGAATGCATCCAGTGCAGGCATCTTGGGCAAGCAATTGCACCTCTGTTCACCCCTTCTCCTTCCCATTCATATCTGGGCTGCCATCCCACCCTGGGGAACACCTCGAATACTGTCTTGTTAGCAGAGTGCTGGAATTTGTCATGGTGATCTTTGGCTGACTCCAGCATACATGTCCGGCGCTATAGTGCTCGGTTGTGTTTCTAGGTGATCATGTCCTCGTATTCCGTTGTCCCGCGCGTCTCCTTGTCTCTCGAGAATGTGATTTGACACGAGAAACCGAGAGTACCTGATTAAGAACCCCAAAAGCGAGGTGAATTTCGATTCAGTGGCAAATTTTCTTTTTTCGGAACATCTCATCTCAGATCGTGTGTTTCCCACTGCTCAACTTAGATTTGAGTTCTGCATTTGCAGCACATTTCACTTCAGAGGTGCAGGACTCCGTGTGAAGGAGATTCCCTACCAACGGAGGTCAATCTTACCCGTGCGAACTTTGTCATGAACTCTTCTCGAAATCTTCATGCTAGTTAGCGAGATGACGTGTTTTCGTTTCGAACAGAAACGAACCGACCAAGGATCCAATCTTATCAAATTATCACATGTCTCTTCAACACTTTGGTAGTGATGAGACTCCGAAAGTGGCTGATGTCTTAAATACGACTGAAATGAAGCAGTCATGTAGATATGGTCATGCATGGGATCCAGATACTAACGAAAACCAAAAGCACAAGACTTGCAGAAGCACAAGTGAAGATCACTCGTACAAGTTGAGCTGAAACACGTTGTCTCTTACAGTGGTAGTTGCATCTGAGTAGTGAAATCCTGTCAGAATCAGTAGGACAAAACTTTCTCTATACTGTGTGTTACAATGCGACTACTGATCCTAAGTACGGTATTCCAGCATGCGGGGACGATGGGGCTTCCAAATATCGTGAAGCACAAGTAAATTTACTTCTGTAGGCCCTACTACACTCTATCAAGAGAGCAGCTAAAGGACAAAAAAATTGATGAACGTAGAGAGATATCTACCTCTGCCGTACACAGTTCACAGGTTCTATACCTGGAGAAATGACCGGCCAAGGTTTGTTGCCAAAGCTAGTCTAACTCTATCAACGTTAGAGCCTGGCTCATCCACACTGTCCACATCTCCCCATAACTTGGCAAGTTTCAATTCTTGAACGCAATTCAGCAAAGTGTTCGTTTCCTGGGCATTCAGGAGCACCTGCTCTGGCCATTCCAGCAACTCCACCTGGTGCAATATTTGGCATTCCAGATATATAAATGCAAAAGATACAATACTGTGTACGTGACGTGATGCGGACGTCTATATCATTAACTGGGTGACCAAAGAAGGTCAAGACTACTAGCACAATCGTCGTCTGCTTGACAATGAGCTATCGAATATATTAACCTAGACGCTCGATTTATAACTCCGGAAGTGACAAACGAGCACTCAGAGTTGAGCAAGCATTGTCTCTCTAGAACTCAGCATTCAAATAATAGCGGATATTCGTGAGTAGCTTGAACTTTACCGAGTCCTGAAGGATGGACATCCAAAATCGTTTCGGCGTAATCCCAACTTTGAAAAGCTGCATACAAATCATTTGCTTCAGCAAACGTCTCCATATTCAACTTCGTCAACTAGATGCCAAATCTACATGGCCAACAAAACTGCAATCTACAAATACGGAGAAATGACTGAAGAATCATTCTAGCATTAGTCCAAAATTGGTCAATATGAAGGCAAAGCCAAGTTGGAGCTCTTACCTCCAACAAACAATCAACGGCTTGTCTCCCAGCAGCACTAAGTTTTTGTTTGTCAGTCTCTTTGGATCTCAGGTCCCATACGTTTTGCATTGCGGATTTGAAATTTCTATATCTGTAAGATGGTCCTGGCCATTTGGTTAGCAGTCGTTATACAATTACAAAGGACAGGTGTGAACACAAACAAGACAAAAGAAGACTTATCTAAGACTCAAATATGTTAATAAGGTCAAATACGGACAACATAATTAGGTTTAACTTGCGTCAAGGACATAATGTTGCAATGATAGATCCAAGATTGCTCTTCATGCTTTCACACCCATCATTTACAATAGAGTGAACCTAGAAGAAGACGAAGAAACTCTTCATACTGACAACTGATCTACATGACGTTTACAACAGTACCAGTGACTCTCACATAGAACTACGGCTGCTTGAGCTTTGATTTAAAACTAGTGCGTTCAGGTAGTAGTCTTGAGCTCCACGAGCAAAGCGGTGTCAAGATACAGTTTCACCATCATGTTGAAGAAAAAGTTGCATTCTATCAAGTATTGACGATAAGTTTTATACTCGCAAAACAGTGTGCAAGTTGCAGAATGACTCCGAAAATGCATAAGAATTGAGCAAAATACACAATGAGTGTACCAAGGTACATTTATGCTTCGTTTTTAAGATCCGAAGCCTTGAACTATATTGAATTTACCCATGAAGATGTAAAGGTGTGAAACAAGTCTTGCCTGTGTAAGATGGAAAGACCTCCTGTAGCTTGGAAATCTGTACCCAGAAGATCCACCAAACCCTGGATCTGCTGCTTCACACGGCAACCGCAGTTCATGAGTTCCCGCAGACGCAATTTGAAGGATCCTAAACACTGCTGAAACGATGTAGGAACTGGAACAAGGATAGGGATCGGGTAATCACCTCAAAATCTTGGACATGTCCCCAGGTACTTCCGGTTGAAACGGATGCAAGAAGCTGATCAGAAAGGGCAGAAAGTAGTCGCTTGTCACGAGCCCGCTGAAGCCACACAATTCCGGCACCTATGCGGCCATGCTTCCAGCTATGAACTCCTACTTTCTGTTTGAGATCATGAACGCTTGATCAGACTCTTCTCTACAGTCTATGAGAACTTAAGAAGACGGACGGGATTCAGAAATCTATTCCACAAGACCAAATGTCTACAGGTGCGTACTGTCAGGGACCTCAGGCAGAGAAAAATGCATAGGCGTTGTCGCATGTTCAATTACTAGATGATTATTTCCTTCCGGTGAGGGCTTTTCTATAGTATAACGGTCAACTCGAAAGCAAAAATCATAATTGAGACGGGAGTACACATCTTGTCAAAAAATGAAAGCTAAACTTAGATGAACAAGCAATCCGTGCGAGTTTCAAAAGTGAAGTCCCTGGCAACCTCACCCTGCATATGGTTGTTCCCACAGCTTGAAGATCATAAAGCCGACAGACATCTAAGGCCTGCAAAATCGCACCGCCTATCAGCTAAAGAACAGTTGAAAAGAAGACAAACTCTTCTTGATCAGTTGCAATTTGGTCAAAAAAGTTTGCAAACAAGTAACTAACTTTCGGCAACTAATTTCTGTTCGACCTTTATTCTTTTACCTTTTGTGCAAGACGACTGTCATCAGACACGGGTAGTCTTAGAAGTAAAGTCTCCAACATTCCTAAACCTTGTCCAGGACAAGATGCCAAATACACCGGAGCTACCTGCAAGACAGCAGAAAGATCAGTGAAGGCTACAAAGATTATTTTAAACTACAAAGATATCTACCGTAGTATAGCTATTGGGGGTTATACTATAAAACAGCAGGTGAGAAATTGGCTAAAATTATATACATAGTGGTTCAAATAAATCTCGCCTGAAAACGAAAGAAGACCAATTCAGAATGTTCTCCTTCTCGGTTTTCTCACAAAGTACGCAGCCAGCTTTGGAGCGCTAAATATTGCTAAGCTCTCCACATCTCTAAACGCTTGAAGGCCACATGGTTAGAACAGTGATACTCTTCCTCTTTGAAGGTTCACCAGCTACTCGAGATTCCTGACTACAACTGTGAGGGAAACACGACCTTTTCAGCAACGAAGGTCTTCATGGAGTTGCTAATCTAGTACAGATAAAGGTACCGCCACCGAGAACGTGGGTGTTATTGCACCCCGTGAGTATGCAAAGGGGGGATTTACTAAGAATAGCCAGAGACATTGACCTATCCAACTTCAATGTATACATAGACCAGAGACTCGAACTGTCCCAACAATAAGTGACTGACTAATCAATATCTAAGATGCATATAACTACGAGATACTAAGTCTGATAAACTACCATGATAATAAGTCAGCGATTCAATTCAGATGAATCGAGAATGTTTTGTCAGTGGAGTGAATCTAGAGTATTTTGGAGTGATCTTATGCATCCCCAAATTCATCGAATGGCTTTCTCTCTCAAATTACTATGTTGCCCTTCGTATTTACTCTGTTACTTCTAATAAATGATGCTCCTGCCCTGTCTCTACTTTGCTGTCACTTTCAAGAGATCGAGAACAACGCTCCAAATTCAGAAGGATGTACATGCCCTGCTAACACGAAATTTTCAAGTAATGTGTCCATCCGCGCTTCTAATGAAAGTTATCATTCATGTTGTAATGTTGGAACATAGTGATCGACTTCGTCCGGTCTATCACCAAATTCTCTGCAAAATAACCCCAACTAGCGCAGAGCATCTTCAGAACTGCCCTACTCCAAACCTTCTGTCTGCTCCTCAAAGATACTTATCTATCAGCCCTAGGATGATTTAAAGGTTCAGTTCAGGTCATGTCAATGTCTAAAACCACAGTATCACTAAAAAGTGCCATAAAGAGCAAGATGCCTGCGTCAGGCAGTGACGTACCTGCCACGTGAGTGGGTCAGAGGCTAGAGATTGAGCATAAGAAAGCCGATACAGTTCTTCCAAACTGATTCCACCTTGTACATCTCTTTCTTTTCGGAGCAGGTTTTGGACGTATGAATCCTTGGCTGTTAAGAGTTCAACCATGTGTGCCATCATCCTACACAATAGATGACTTGAGTCAATTCGGTCACAAACATCGAAGGATCTCTTCGTGTTCGTAATTATCACCTGTGGATTAAGCGTGCTCCAAAGGAGCACGCTTAATTCCAAGTCAGTCAACTCTCGTGAATGGACACAGCGGGCCTGTTCTGAAAAGAAGTGAACAAAAAGAATGCAGGAAAAGAAAGTCCTGACAGCGATGGAGGAAACCACGTTCGAGATGGACGGTGAGAAAGACAAAGGTTTCTCAATCTTCGTCCAAAGCTTCGCTACTTGATACAGCTCACCATAGATAATCAGGAAGTCCAACTGTACCTATATTTTCACACTCAACTAGAGCCAGGATACAACAAATTGTAATTAAGCCTGTTATTCTTAGCTCGAGCTTACCACGGCTCAAACAGTCTCACGCACTCGGCAATGACCACCTGAAAGATCAAACGATTGGAAGTTTCAATATACCCATTAGGTGATCGAGTGCTAGAAGCAAGATTGAGTTTCAACACATATAGGGCATATTTCAATACCTCATGGGAATTGAATTACAAACCCCATGGTGTGCAATTCATAGTGTTTACTGGCATGCCAAGTTTGAAAGGAACGCTAGCACAAGTGTTGGAATACATGCTGATACTTTCAAGGAACTTTGGGGTTACTAAGCATGAAGGCCGTTAGTCTAATTGGGAACCTCACGATAAAGCGGCGCCTAAGAAAACAAACCTCTGTGTTATCACCCAATACTGCAAGTATGAGCTCTTGAAGCTCATCGGACTTGTGCGTTCCTTTGTACTCTTTACAAGTGTTGGCCAAGGCGACAAGTCCTTCGGTAGCCTGGATTCAAGGTCTCAATAGTCAGCAGTGTCTCAAGAGATGTGGCCAAGTGCAGACCTTCAAAAGGTCAATTGAAAATAAAAAACGATTTTCCGCATAAACAATGTTTGAGCTGTAAAATCTACCTGCAAGCGTGAAAGAGCAATGAGCAGCAAGTGCCCATCCAACATTATTAAATAACTTGTTAAGGCTATATTGCTTACCTAAGAAGCCAGTCTCTCCTTCTCTAGGGCATATTTCGAGGAAACGGGCAACAAACATACAAGGTAAGCATCTGCCGGGCAGAGTAAGAGGTACCTACAATCGCAAATGGTCTGACATGAAGATAGTGGGCTGTAAGGAGCTCCATCCAGTGATACGTGCTCTTCACAAGAACCTCCACATTGCCTTGCAAAATGGCCAGAAGCTTTTTCAAGCCTTGTAGTGTCTTCTGATTATGGCATTCATTCCAGAATGCACTACGGTCCAGCTTGGTTACTTGAATTCTCCAGCGCTCCCACTCCTACATAATTAACAGACTCAAGCTTCAATGCGGATTTCTCTCCTACAATCAAACATATACGCATACATACAACAGCGCCCCTGTCAAAGTGCAAGTGTCTGCTTGACAAAGCAGACACTTGGAATTGAATGGAGTCTTTGATACAGCACTTTTTTCGGCAAAACTATTCCGCCTCCATTGATTAAGAAGTCATGAAAAAGTCTATGATTATTGATCAGACAAGATTTGCCCACAGTAGAAATGGCATTTCCTTTTAAAGGCTCTATAATTCCAGAGCCCAATAAAGATACAGATGAAATGGGAACACTTGCATCCTAAGCGGACACCATGAACAGTCTTGACCAATACATACCTTGGCAAACTCTGGCTTGAAGCTGTAAGCTACTCCAGGTGACCCAGGAGGTAAACTAGGGCGTAGCCGAGGCATCATGGAAACGAGCACAGCTACGGCTTCAACTAGTCCATTCTCTGTCTGTTTGGTGTATGCATGACATGCATTAGTCGAAACAATGCAGACAATGGTTACTGCACAATCTGCATTCACGTCCCTCTAAGCACATCGTCGTTCAAAAGCTATGTAAGTTATTCAAAAAAAAAGAGGTTTCGTGGTTGTGGATGTAGAACCTTCGGATAAAACAACAACAGGAACAAAGCTCACTTCAACTAGATGTAAGCTTCCAGTAAGGAGTCAGATTCAAATGGACAAGGGGTCCCAAGAGGGCAACGAGCATAAGCGATCGTCATGGCCCAATGATCACAAGTTTCTGCTAGCCCCAGGATCCTCTCGAAGTTATTCAAGTTAGGGTTTGCCTCATCATTCAAATTTCTTAGATCTGAAATCCCAGGAGGTCCAAATATCTATTAAGAAATTGAGCGGTTTGGTTGGTCTTATCGTTTCTTTACCTGGCGCTTGTCAATCTGATCATGCCTATAAGAACCATGCATTCGCAAAAAAGTTACCTGACACATGTACATACAAGCAACATTATAAGCGCATATTTTGGAAACATGCCATCACAAAATTAGAAAATTTGTAAGATAGGATTTGATAACTTTTGTAGGATGGCAAAAACACGAATCAGTAAAAAAGATGAAGGGTATAATTCAACTGAGCTATGGGTAGAATAGGTTGAAGCAGATGGATATTTACCACAAAATCGAACCAGCCAACAGCTAGAGCCGATGCAATTCCCTCCCAGTAGTCTGATTCCTCTTCTGGAAACTGATAGATGATAATCACAGACGTTTGAAAGCTGGACTCTTAAGGTTACAATGACCAGGAAACTCAATAGATTTTAACCCACAAGCAGTTGCAAATTAATTCAGCAAGCAGGACAACAATGCAAACAAATGGAATCTCAATCTGTTTCCAGGATATCTACAACCAAACCTCTGATTGCTGGAGATTTGTAACTTATGACACGGATCGTGCAGTTGTTTAACAACTGAAATAGTAAGTACCTACCTGCCTAATAGACAGCCTCCGCTTGATCTCAATCAGCCTACGACTCAGTGATGCTTCCGTTTTGGAAAGGATCGGGCCATGAGCCTGCAAGAGTATGCAAACAATGGTTAAAAATCTGCATATTAGGCTAGGTACTCTAGCCTCAAAAGAAAGTCATGCAAGTGAATGACTCTTCGCTTCTAGGGCTCCAATTCTATTGTCCTAGTATCGTCCTCTTCGTACTTTTACTTGTCATCATTTTCTTCAACAAATGAAGTCCCTCTCTCCGACAGCCCTTGCGAAAATCTTTGGAATTTTAACATCATTCAATCGCTTCATCGTGTGATCCTTGCGCACTGAGTAACAACAAATAGTTTTGTTACGAAGGATAAACAATACTTACTACGAGCCAGTCCACCAATCGTTCAGGGAACCAAGACTCGGCGCTTTTGTCGACATAGAATATTTCAAGCATGTCCCAAATTGCTCTCATGGCGGCTGTTGTCTTGTTTTCCTGATCCGTGAGATGTATGTTAGCAGACAAGGAGGAAAACAAAAAAGCAGCTGTTTTATTTTGATTAGGCTTGTGATACAATTTCCTCTCTGAAGCGCAAGAACAGCTTTGGGCAAAAGTGTAAAAGGATTTACAAACATAGACCCCGGATCCAGTTAGCGCACTTACTTGCCTTAGTTGTATCATAGAGGTCGCTCGACGGAGGTCTTTCCGAAGATCCTAGCATGTCACTTATGTTTCGGCTGTACTCCAATACATACTCCCACCTAAAGTATCATAGTATTATTTCAGATTGTTGACTTCATTAAATAACACATATATAAGAAGGGGAATGTCAAAACGACCACATCCGATGTTAAAACGACCACAGCGTTTCCTGTTGGAGAATTTAAACGCAACAATATACTCGTCTCCAAGCGTGTTTTTGTTACAAATTGCTGCATATATGCAGAAAACACAATCAAACATGATACTCCTACTAACACACTTCAAGAACAATGACTAATGACTACTGGTTGAAACTATTGCAACGATCCCTGCGAGATAACAACACGTTGAGCACATGTTCGTGCATTGTGTCCAGTCTGAACGCAAATCCTACACTTTCGCAGTTGTGAAGTATGGAAGTATGGAAGGAGAGGATGCCACAGGAACACGCTCGCAGCTGATACTTGGGCTTGTGTGCGAAGAAAATTTGTTTTTGACAGGTCATGTGAACACGCGTCTTTGGTCGTTTTAACAATTTATGTGGTCGTTTTAACATTCCCCTATCAGAAACTATAATCAAAGTTCACTTTGACGCAGGTTATGTGTGAAAACTTAAATTTCTAACAGCTTCACAGAAGTCTTTAGAATAATCTTCTCGCCAACAGCTTTTATCAACACTCCCGAGGAAGGAACGATGTGCAAGTAGACAGCGTTTGACGTCAAGAATTGCATCAAATGGCAGGATACCCTCAAGACTCTCAAAAACATTCTAAAGCATGTCTGGATGAAGTAAGATAACAAAAGGTAGGCATGATTAGAGAAAACTCAAAGACGGCCAAAGAAAGGATCTCCAATACTACTAACCAGCTGCGGAGGTTAGTCCGAAGCAAATGACAGTGGTGAGGCAGGAGCTAGTCTCGTGAAGATATAGTGAGCTAGTCTTGTAGAACGTTAGAATTTTGAAATAAGGCCTACTGCTAGCCTCATGGAAGCGAGCTATGAGTGGAAACCTAAAAATAACAGTTACTCGCATAGAGGGTAAGAGCCGTACTACACGATATGGAGAAGACAATGTTGGTTATTATAAGGCCAACCCCATAATTTAACTCAAGGAAGACAAGTCAAGGTCAAGTAATCAGAACATAGACATCATACAACACTCTGCTCTTCGGATGATTCTGAAGCTGTCTCAGAACGAGCGGAAACCCAAGGAAACGGTCACTCGCCCACAGGACAAGAACCGTGGTAAAAGAATATACAAAAGATGGTGAGGATTCAAGTTCTACTTGTCTGGTGGTCGGCGCTGCAGCCAACAGTGAAATCATTGTACATTACAACATAGAATTACGCAACTTCATGGTGCATGATGAGGAAAAGTTAACGTTGGTTGTTATGTGGCCAACCCTAGAATTTCATTCAACAAAAGACAAGTCAAGGTCTAGTAATCAGGACAAAGCAAGCAATCGTACAAAAATTTGCTCTTCGGATGAGTCTACAGCGGTCTCGGAATGACAGAGAGACCATTCGTCCATTTAGGGGTTCACGGTTAGTTCGTCTATTGATAAGAAGCGCGAACAGATTTCATTTGCTTGTTAAGCTGCAATTTAACAATCCAATCTGAAAGCACTAAAATTGCTTTCTTTAGAGCCTCCATGGATTCTACATCTTTGGTCGACTCAACATATGGATGTCTATTGTAGCTGCAAACCTAGCCAAATATATCATGACAAGAGGCTGCAGATAACCTGGTGCCGCAGTCATCTTGCGGCGTCTTCACATTATGTCTTCAGGTTCTCACAGGTCTTAGTATTTTTTAAAGGCATGATGGCTTGCGGATAATCGGGTGAGTAACGATGGCTGGTACATCGCATTGCTGCGTGATCATCGAAACAGAAGTAAAATGTAATGAAGAAACGAGAAACCGACGATCTTGATGATTGGTTTCTTAGGGTCTCCAAAGATCATGCGTGGCAAGAAACTCGACAGATTTGGAAAGCCAAGGTAATACCCACGCTTGATGGGCAAGGGATGGTAAACTAGTCCATGAGATGTGACAGGCAAAAGGTTGAAAAACCTTCAAAGCGTAATTCCAGAAAGAGAGAGGATCTAATGATTGCACGATAAACTGTACATGGCGAGCAGACGGAGAGTATTCTTTTGGCCTTTACGAGTGTTCAGTTGAACTTAGTATATTTGCAAGCTTAGTCGCAGATTTAAAGGTTTGGTAGTTGCAATGTCCAAGGTCCCCACGATCGCCCAGGATTTTGCAATCAATCGCAAGGAAGATCTGATCCATGAGTAATCGATGAGAAATTCACAAGCTGAAGTGTGCTCGGCTTTACATGTGGTTCAGCAGAACCCACTTCAATGCGTCCCGAGCTGAAGACTTTAGTCCGGAAAGAGTGCAATTTGAACATGCTTACCAATTGTTGGGGCTTCCTCCTTGAAGAGTTTCATTGTTTTGTTGACGCCTCTGGGACTGCAACTCCACAAAAAAAGGAAAAGAATCCGTGGCAATTCTCCTACTTTCCGCCCCAGCCTGCCCGTCCCCCGCACCTTGCCCGAGCTGCACCTGCACGACTTTTCCTATTTCCTGCCTCTCTTCCGTGCTGGGCAGGAAAGACAGTCGAAGGAGATTCCCGGTGCCCCATGAGATTTGGATGCGTGGAGTTCCAGGGAGACCGTGTCTCACAGTGTACTCAGAGGTGTGTCCATTCGCGTGGTTCTCATGCCTCGCGCCAGCGCCAGCACCACTGCCAGTGCCATTGCAATTGCCTTGATAAGGCACAATAATTCCCGCATCGACCATTTTGACTAGAAAATACTCTACCTTCGCGTCCTACAGAAGCGTTCCGAGCATTCCACTTTGAGCATTCGACCCACTATTCGCTTCGACCGCGCAATCTCGTGCCGTCCAGGCCATCGCTGCCCCAAGACTGAAGCCTCCCCAAGTGACCCACAGGAGCTCCGGCCATTCAAACAGTTCCGCGCTCCCGGACTGCGACCTCGCCGCGCGACTCCAAGCACCACCTGCCCCGCCCCGCCCTGCCCTGCGTGCCTGTCGTGCACCTCCTCGGCGCGATTGCAAGCTAGGCTCGGTCAAAACCTTCACACTCATGCCCTGCCCTCGCGCGCTCCTCAGCCTCTGTCAAAACCACGAGGTTCCCGTCCCATTCCGCGCTCGGCCTGTCGAGTCCTGTCAGTCGCGAGACCGCAGCGGGCCCCGAAGATTCCTCCGCGCTCGTCGATGTTCCACCTTCTTCTTCTTCTTCTTCTTCTCCCCCGCCCTCGCTCCTATTTTCGAATCCGCCCCCGACCCGGTGCACATGAACAATGGTTGAGCCGTCGGTCGGGCCTTCTTGGCTCGAGGCGGCCCCGAACCACAGCTCACCATCGAACTACGCTCAAGGTTCCGTCGCAGTCCAACTTGCGAGTTTAGGGTTTACCTGGTCCGGCGAGAACCCACAGTGGACGTCGTCGTCGCCGAGTCCGGGACATTCCGCCGCAGCTAGCTGGACCGGTGGAGCCCGACGCTCACGTCACTCGGGCGCGGCCAGCGGAGTGCATGGCATCATCGAGGCATAACGTACTGCCGCGCTTGGCTCCGTTGACGAAGTCGAATGTTGGAGCGACGTCCTCCGGCGCCGTGAGGCGAGGCGGGCCCCGCCGCGGCCTGCGACGGTTTGTCAGGTGGGTGGGAAAGCGAACATGGTGGACTCGATGCGCAATGGCGAGTACAAAGCTCGCCACCCCTCTCCGCCTGCAGCTCCTCTAGCTCCCTAGCTCTCCGCCTCTAGCTCCCGAGCAGGGCAGCGTGCGTGCGTGCGCCAGGAGAGAATCGTCCGAGCGCGAACGTCTTTCATCTTTCAAGTCGATCCGAGGGAGTCCTACAATTTGAACAATTCCATTGCCGATTTGCAGTCAGCTGTATTGGACACTCCATGCTCGGCCTGTGTACTTGAATCTCGACGCGGGGGCTTGATTGTTTGCAAATGCTGCCTGAGTTCCCGTCTTGACCGAGTGGACTTGCGGGGCGGACCCTGAGCACTCGGTGTGTCCACGATTTCGCTGCAGGGCGTGGCATCATCGTGAATCTTGTGCTACCGCTCTCCTCGTGCATCAGGTTGTGCTGATTATAGACCGGGCAGTGTTGTGAAGAGGAATTCGGCTGTGGCTCTGGCATAGGAGCTGCCTCGAGTTGCAAATATGAGTGCATTCACAGCGGGCCTGACGCTTCTTTTGGTTACATCGACTTTGTGGACGCAGGTCTCAGCGCAATGCAGTGCTGGAACTTGTCAAGTAAGAAGTATATCAGTCTTTACAAAAGTTCCCGATCAGAGTTGGCTGTCTTCTAAGCAGAATGAATGAATGTGGTCTTTGCCGCATGCCTCTGCTGGTTGTCTATCACTGGAAGTTGGTTCGCAGATGATGGTCGTCGACCTCAGTCCAGGCAGTCGAGATGATTGTAAGCTCATTCTGTGAAAGTTGAAGTCTCCTGTATGACGCGCGGGTGAAATCTGACACTCGAATTGTGCACAGCTTCTGGACAACTGCAACACCGATTCGGATTGTGCGCCCGGACTCATCTGCAGTTCCTGCGTCGTGTCTGGCGTCCTCCAACCGATATGTATCCGAGATCAAGCAACAGTGTTGCAAAATGTGCGTTAGGAGTACATGTTTCTCCGCTTGCATCAATCTGCACTGGAAATTTTTACGTTCAGTTCGGGGAATTCCAGAGCCTTCAGCCAAGGGGTCTTCGGCATGGCTTTGTCGTTGTTGAATTTTAACACAGTTCTATCGTGGACGTTGCAATTGATACTGAAGTAATCTGCTTGTTTTTCTCTATCTGGTTTCGTGGGTTGATGATTCAACTTGCTGAGCAAATGCGACGCTCGAGTGATCAGTGCACTGCACCTTGTTCCGCCATCTTAGGTTGTCTCTAACGACATTAGAGTTCACCAACTCGGACTGCAGTTCTCGTGACGTAGGGACAAATTTTGAGTGAGTGAGTTCAACTTCAACGTGCAATGTTTGCAGTTCAGTAATGAGATTGTGGTATCGTTCAAGTGCAGATTACATCTTTGCCATTCAATAAAGTTGCCTGGCTTACGACGCACAACTCGTTTGCGATTGTTGGGGCTCCCGAATTGACGGGTCCCCGAATCACTTTTTATAATCAAGAGGACTCTGTAACCGATCAGCTCAATGTAAGTCACTCTGTTGTGTCACATTGTAACGAAACTTAGCACCTTCAATCTGTACTTCGAAAGATGTCAGTCTAATTAGGAGGCTTCAGAGAATTATAGTTCCAGCCAGCTTCTTGGTTGGTTTGCTGAATTCAAATCATTGCGGGGTAAAGACGTGGAGAGGCCGCAAACCATGGGGACACATGATGACCTTCTAATGAATAAGGGGACTATCGAATCGAGAGTTGGAGAGTTGAATTGTGTTCCAATTATCCTGACATGTTTTGTTGTTGGCGCACCAGTCTGTTATACTGTCCACGGTACTGGTTCTGTCTTTGGTAGCTAATATCGGGCGTAGAATGTCCTTCCCGTCTCGGCCAACCCCGTACACTTCTTCGTCAATTGAGGGTGTGTAACTCAGGCAGTCGAACGTCTCGGCAACCCCTTACAATTTGATTGATGCTTTGTGCAGAACGGCGTGAGAGGCCTGATGCTGGACATGTACGACTACAAAAATGATGTATGGCTTTGCCATTCTTTTGATGGCGAATGCCTTGACATAACATCCTTTGTAAGTCGAGCTTACTCGATACACGTATTACTCCATTTGTGAAACCTTTTGCTCTTTCTTCCTCCGTAGTCGTTTAGTTTTGGGTCGAATCACTGGTTCCCAAAATGTCCTATTTTATGAATGTGGATAGTTGTGTATACACCACGCGTAATGTACGGAAGACGCCCATGTTTCTTCTGTTCTGGGCATACTCGAGACATGTTTTTTAATTTGTGGGAATTTTTGGGTTTCAGGCACCCGCTCTCGACACAGTCAAAGAAATCATGACATTTCTGGTAAATAATCCGTCGGAGATCGTCACTTTGTTCATCGAGGACTACGTTTCAGCTGTCAATGGGATCTCCAATGTCTTCAGGGCTGCTGGTATAAATCAGTACTTGTTCCCCTTGGCAAGTATGCCCGCACCGGGAGCCGATTGGCCAACCGTGGGTACAATGATACAGAACAACTGGCGCTTGGTGGTCTTCACTTCTAAGTCATCAAAGCAAGCGACTGAGGGCATTGCATACCAGTGGAATTTCGTCGATGAGAATCAATGTAAGCAAAATGTGTTGACTGTAGTCATGCACTTCCCTCGGTATTACCAGTACTAACGCCGACTTTGCAGACTTCGCGGCGTCATCCAAAAGCAAGCCCATTTCTGGGCGTAGCTTGTGGGCGTCGAATACACACACCAATAGGGGATGAGCGATGAAATTATGAAATCGTCGAATTCGGATTGCAACCTTCTAAGCGGTGTGCGTTTTGCAGATGGTGATGATGGGCTGGTGGCTGGTTTATGCCCAAATCGAGCCGAATCACAGTTTATGAACAGCACAAGAAATTCGCTTATTCTGCAAAACTATTTCCATACGAACCCTGTGCAGGATACGACCTGTAGAGATAACTCTCAGGCTTTGTATGACGAGCTCACTGCTTGCTACACGGCTTCTGCCAATCGATGGGCCAACTTTCTTAGCGTGGACTTCTACAAGGTAATATTGCATGGAAGCTACGTGACCGATGAACAATTCACCTTATTTGATTAACCAGAGTTCCTTTTGAAGACTAGTTTCTGTCCATCAAGTTTCAAAGCATTTACTTTTCTATCGGAAAATGAGGCGGGAGATTGTATGATGGCCGTGTTTCTCAGAGAAGCACAGGAGGAGGTGCGTTTCAAGCTGTTGACAAACTGAATGGACAAATGCAATGCGGATGCAATAGCCCCGTTTCTTGCCAGGTTCTTTTCTTCCTTCCAGATTCCAGATCTTGGTGAATCACAACCCGTGTTTGGCTGCATGCTTGAATGTCTCACGCTGGTCAGAGCATACGTAACTTGGACGCCGAGTCTTTCGGACTCCAATCACAAGTCATAACCGGACCTATTTTGCTCTCGTGTCCTTATCCCGTAGCAATCGGAACAAGGTTAGCTTCACAACACGCAGAATGTTGCCGGACACTGACATCAGTCGCTGTTGTTAGCTCCCATCTCTTCCAGAATTGTTGAATTTCAGCCCGATAGATGTAAGATATAATCGTAAGATGTGCTTCGTGAGGATGCTTAGAGTCCTGGATTTACTAACGTCAATGTGATAATTATTGACACTCGATGTGGGCTAATGCACAACAGACACAGACTGCACCTGGGATTTGTCCCGCTGATGTCTAACACACAAATTCGAGGAATGCTTCACAAACAGACTGCACGTGGGAGTCACAAACAGTCTGCTTTGATTGTGTAGTTCTCTGTGTCAACGACTGCGTCTCAGGCACGGACTGAGACCTCACTGACAACTGCGTCAACGCTGGGCACACACTGAACCCAGCACTCGTGATTCATTTCTAAAACTCAATGTCGACGGCTCCAACCCTGAAACGAACTGCGAACGGGCACCGTCCTCACGATATACCGATTGCACCTATTGTATGATTATTGACTCTCGATGTGGGCTACTGCGTCACAGACTCGAACTGCACCCGGGCAATGTCCATCTGAGACCTCCCTGTCACCGGCAACATCACCGATTGCACCTATTGTATGATTATTGACTCTCGATGTGGGCTACTGCGTCACAGACTCGAACTGCACCCGGGCAATGTCCATCTGAGACCTCCCTGTCACCGGCAACATCACCGACCGCCGACGCCCAACTGCCAAGCCCTGGTGGACCTGCCGCGGAAAGTCGCGCGGACAAAGCACAGCCCTGGGTTGCTTTTCTTACCTTCTCCTGCTGGGCCCTTATTCATTTGCTGCTCTGGTAGCCCGCCGTATTCTTTCTTGCGGCCTACACTTGACTCCGCGCGCTCTGCTCATTTGCTTTCGCTGTGGTGGTAGGTTCGCAATTGTTTCCTATTCACGTGTATTGAAGTGCAAATAGAAGGCTGTGTTCTACCATAATGATACATTTGGATCTTCTTTGACAGCTGTACAGACAGTTATTTTCTGCCAACTTTCGGCCCCACGTTCTGGGTATTATGAATGGAGCAAATATCGCATATTACTGGAACCCTTTGAAATACATCTGAGACTTGTACATCTCCACGTCCAACTAATACTAAGAAAATTAGTAGAACACATCACACATTCAAACTACAATTGACACGGTTGGATACACTCGATAAAACCCTTTCAAGAGTACATCACGTAACAAAGATATTTATCACGAAAGTTTTAAATAGATATGCAGGAGAATGTAACATTTAATGCATACCTGCACTTCTAACCACAGACCCTGATCAAAGTATTCATTGATCAAGCATAAAAAAAATGCAATTATCGCCAAGTAAGAACTAGAGTTTACTAACAAAAAAGTTCAAGAGAAAATGGATATCATTCACAAACAAGGCAATGATGTTGTTTATTATATAATGATGAGCGTGGATGAACACATTGTTCATCACAGCATTGTCATGTCTAACACTTGTCATCATCCACCGCATGTCCTATTCAACTATTGTTAAGAAGATTTTCATTGCGATTGTGATTGCCACTATCAAGACAAGAAGTTCCAAGGATTTATTCATGATCCACACATTTCCTTATCCGACCAAATTGAGTACATCACTTACGAAATGGGTAGAGAAGATTATCGCGAAATGTGAAGGACTACCATTAACCCTGGGGATGATAGGCAGGTATTTGAGTACGAAAGACAGTGAAAGCATATGTAGTCAATGTCTTCACGCTCTAGATGAAGCAAAAAACATAGTCAATTTTAGACAAAAATTGTGATCGAAGTTGCAAATGAGCTACGACCGTTTGAATATTGAAGAGCAAGAAATGTTCCTTGATGCTACTTGTTTTGATTGTGACTGCCACTATCAAGACAAGAAGTATAATCGCCCACAAAAGAGTAAATACGTTTCATTCCAACGATCAGCAATGATTGTGACTATCAGAACTTTGAGAAGAAACACTTGAAAAATCTAGATCACAACAGTTTAACAATTGTCTTTCCTCTTGCGATTAATCTCAAAATCAATCTTCTCAAAGATGTACTAACTCTTGTGATTTTGCTCATCGTTCTAGAGAAAGACCTTATGACAGAAACAACATCATCTCTTCATTCTCTGCTAAACCAAAGTTAAAACTTTAGAAACGTAATGAGTGCAAAAAACTAGAGCCATGATCGTATGAACAGCCGCACCACCTTTAGAAGAAGCTTGAGGCATTTTTTATCTTCTACAATACTGTCAAGAACTCTAGGCAGTCCAAAGCAAACATAGAATGAAATCTTGACAGTCATAATGATCATCACAAGTATGTTTTGGAGTAAGCTAATGTCATGTTCTTTGACGATGAAGTTGCTCCAATTGTGAACAATACTTGTAACCGATGATGCAAACAATGTGCAATCTACAATTCAGAGCCAAGTTAAAAAAATTATTCATGGATTTTTAAAGCGATATCTCCTAACGTTTAATTGTAAAATGTTCTATTCTTTCTAATCTTTAAGATCAAGCTGACCATATCTCAATTATAAAACCATGCATTCAAGTTTTTTTTGTTTGTAGATAAGCTCATTTAACTTAAATCAAAAAAATGTGTCTGATGTTTTTTACATGCTTAGTGTGAAGCATAATTTGTTGTCGGTTGGAAGTTTGTCTCTAGGCCATGTAGCACTTTTTAACTCCAATAATTATTATGTATTTGATAGAGAAAATGCACATATCATATTGTTGTATAAATAGTGATATATGACAACCTATACATGTTATATAAGCCTGGAAATCTCTAACCAATCATCATTGAAACATCTTTCTCAACAAGATTTTTTGTTCAATTAAAATTTAGAATATAAAAGAGTCTAAGTCAGATCTTTAGACTTGTTTAGTATATTAGGTCGACCTTTGTCATCGAATGATGAATCATGCAAACTACCCATCTCCATTTACTGAAATCCAAGAAGTTTACTGCCAAAATTACTCAGATCCGTCACATTAGATCTTTTTGTGCTATATGTCTGAAAGCAAAGCAAAACTAAGATCGTATTTCTAAGCACTATTGTACTCAAACAATCCGTCCATTACAGTTGTTGCATTCTGACTTATGCTGGACTTCCCCTTTTGAATTTCTAACAAAGCAACGATACATAGTGACATTTATTGACAATTTTATCAAGTATATCTGGATTTCTTTTCTTAGAATCAAAAACAAGACAAAGCAGCAATTTAAAGATTTCAAAATTATAGTGAAAAATAATTATAAATACAAGATTGCGGCACTGCAAACAGACATAGGATAAATATATCAGTCCAAAAGTTATCATGTTTTCTACGTAGAGTCAGATTATCATCATGTTTTAACTTGTATGTACACTCCGCATCAAGATGTACTTTGTTGTGCGACTATATATCGCCATACATTCTACATCGCTGACATGATACTCACACACACACACAGTACACGATTGCGTATAGACTCAAATGTAGCAAAATTAAATGCAGATTCTATAGAGTTGGAAAGGGATTCGAAGTTTAGAGAGATCAAGTCAAGTTCAAAAGTTCTTACTTCTCTATTCTTTGAGCAAAATTAAGACCTAATTACTCCATTCACAAACACGACAGTTCCCATATAGTCGAGTCCAAACCACTCACGAGATGGTACAAATCGACGCTTACAGACGCTCACTAATCCCAACGCTAGAGACTCGACTGAAGGAACTGAACTTTATTTGAGTCTCGTCTTCTCTATACCTTCTGCAAACGGTAATCTTAAGCCAACGGCTAAATATAGTAAACACAAAAAACATGAGAATTTTCTTCACAAAAGTATATGATTGTGCTTGAAATGATCAAAAGCTTACTTCTTTATGCTCAAGTATCTAAGACTCTCTTGAAGTAGTCTACAAGGATGGTTGTTTATATCTTAAACCTAATGTCGACGAAATCACTGCAACTGTCAATATCTTTTCCGCAATTGATGCGCTTTATCCGGAATGTCAAACACCTTAGAGTTTTTTAATATGAGGTTTCTCTTTAACTTACGATCAAGTTTGACAAACTTTATGTTTGGTTTCTGTCAATTACTTTTATAGTCTATGATACTTAATCCAACGTATATCATGTGTATGATAATGTTAATGAAATAGTGTACATGAGTATAAACGTAAAATTTAACAAACCTATCTTCGAACTCGCAGTACACTAAGATTCTCAACTTGTGAATGATCTTCATATTCTACTTCCCCAAAAATGAAACCTGAATCAAGAGCATGTTCTATTAGTTTTGATTTTGACGACGTTCTAATGTCTAACGCAATATCTCATTTTTTCCCTAAGTCTACAACTACTTAGATGATACATCATATTAGTGTGTTCATCAAATCACACTCCAATGATCCTCCAACTTATCGGAAGAATTATGTGAACTATAGTGTCAAGTATCTTGGACATACAATCAAATGTTATGAAGCTAAGCTTGTCAACTACATGGGAGAACAGCTCAACTTTGACAAAACAATAAAGATTCTTGAAAGAGAGGCGTCGATGATTCATTAGCTGAACTTCATCCACAAAATTTGTACATGTACCTTGATCAAGCTACCTCAAAGAGGAAAGATAAGATGCAAATGGATGTTTCAAAATTGAAGAGTCCCAATTTGAATTTGCATTCCGTCTCAAGTCTCGTTCAGTAGTGAAAGTCTTCCAATAGAACGATCATAAAGACTTCACCAAGACCTTAGCTCCTCTCATAAAGTAATCCACTGTAAGATCTGTCACTGCCATTGTCAATGCATGCGGATAATCAATTTGTCATCTGAATGTCAAAATTGCTTTCTTTTATGGTATTGTTTTAAAAAAATGTCTATGTAAATCACTCAATTAGCTTCATTAGTAAACATTTTAGAACTTTGTAATTAAACTCAATACACCACTTTACGGTATAAAACAAGCCCCAAGAGCTTGATACATATGTATGGACTCCTACTTCAAAATAGCACGCTAGACATGTTGTAACTTAGATCCTAACCTTTATATTTTAAGTAAGGATTTCTTTCATAGTAATTTTGATGTAGACGACATGTACATAACATGTAACAATCAATTGAAAATCTTTGAGATTAAGTCAGAGTTAATGTATAAATATGAAATAGATTATTTCGGTATATTTAAAATTATTTAAAATTATTTAGAATTAGAATTTTCTCTATCATCACAAGGAATTTTATTTTATCAAAAATCCTATATCATTAATGTTTTAAGAAAGTTTTAATATGTTTAACACTAGCCCATCTACATTATCAATCTTATTTGGCAAATATTTGATAGAGGTACTAGCATTTCTTAAATCAATAGTACATTTTATAGAAAACTAATTGACCTAGTGCTTTTTGCTACTATTTTCAGGTTCAAAATTTGTTTTGTTGTGGTAGAACACTCATAGTTTATGTCAGCACCTCAAGAGTATTATCTGGAAATTGCTTTCCAAACTTTGCAATACCTAAAAGTTCCTTTAAAACACTGAATATTGTTCAAACAAGTATATTCACTTCAATTGCAGGGATACAAATATGCTACATGAAGCTCTTGTCATGACACATACAAATCTACTAATACTTATGCTTTTATACTGGTATTGTGGTATGGTAGGGAAGTCTTATGATTTTTTAAGAAGCAAAATCTCATCTCAAGTATAATATAAGATCTTGTACTTTGGTGCAAAGGAGTCTGTTAAGCTACAACTACTATTGCATGAAATCAACCCAATCACACTCATAATGACTCCAAGACCTCTCTCCTACAAAGACATTAAGTTGACTTCTGCCTTTCCTACTCTCAATTTTTTAACTGACTCCACGACAGTTCACTGTGACAATGAGAGTGCTATGCATTTGACAAAATACAATTTTTCATGCAAGAAGTAAGCAAATAGATATCCAACATTATTTCATAGGGGAGCGGTGATTTTGAAGTAGATTAGAGTTCAATTCCTCTTCACAAAATTACAGCCAGAAAATATATTGAAGTACAATTAGCACATGCAGTATCTTGGTCTA